TTGTTAATTATGTTGAAGAAACTGGAAATGGGATCTCTTGTTGAGGCTAATGCAAAGGAGGTGGGAACTGGAAGTACTGTGGGGTGTGCTTTGTAGGATCGCAGATATGGTGATTAGTATGGTCACAATCCTCACTCAAGACTGGGGAAGCTTATGTTGTCACATGTTAACATGTATGTCGATAATATTGATTTCAATATCTCGCTTGCTTTAATTATATGAACACCTTCTAATTATATCCTGATATTGTTGTGTATATGTGAAGTTGATGTATCAAGATAACTGCTCTGCACCGGCTTACCCTCATTCCTTGACTTTGATGGCCATTTTTTGCATGGTGGAGCGGCTGCTCCGCTTTGTCCAGGCGGTGGTCGGCTGCGGGAGAGAAGGAAGGAGGAAGACGGGGAGCGTGGCCGGGATGGGGGGAAGGAGGAGAGAGGGAAGGAGGCCGAGCCCCTCTCCACCGGCTCCCGCTTCGCCGGTGACGGCCGCGTAGCTCCGCCTTCATCAGCGCGCGAGCATATCTCCCGATTCGATTCGGTTCCTTCGATGAACCGCAGAAACCTGCTGGTTATCCCGCCGAAGCCCAACGAGCGGCGTCCCGCTAAGTGGATGAAGAGCCTCGACCTGCCTCTCTACTCGGACTCCGCCTCCGCCTCCTCCTCCTCCTCTGATCTCTCCCTCGACGATGAGGCCAACGCCGGTGCCATGCCGTGTCATGCGGCCTCACTGTCCGTCCGAGAGAGAATGGCGGGGAGCTGTCAATGGACAATGCTTGCGCCAAAGAATCGTTCTAACCGATTCTAAGTCGATAGAAACAAACTTTGGGCGGGAAAATTAATCAATAAAAACGAAGGAAAACTGAAGGTGATAAAGAGAAGCTGCTCGAGGAAATTCCAGAGAGAGAGAAGAGAGAGAAACACCCTAGGTAATTTCCATACATCTTTTGAGAGATCAATACATATGCTTCAGCAAATGTTCAATCTTTTCCGTGATATACGTATATCTAGCTTTTGGTTGGGTTCAAATACATTTTGATTAAACATAATTCCATCAATCGTCCGGTCTTCAGATTGAATCATTCAACACTCAATTCAATTTTTGAAGTTGCGGATTCCGTTCAGAGCATCTTGCTCCTGTGATTAAACATCCTGTTGAAGCCTCAAAACATGCCTTGCCTTGCAAAGAAAGAAGAATTGCAGGAGCTTCTGGGGACCTTAATTTCAAGTTTCTTCTAATAGGGGTTAGTATGGGATAACCCTATCCAAACAAGCAACAACTGCAATTAGGTAAAACGGTGACACGGCAATGCAAGTTATTACTAGCTTAGAGTAATCCAGCTTGCACTTGAATTGCACATTGCACGTTTGAGGAGGTGTTGAAGTATTATCTTGCATCACTTGACAATGGGTCCGAAGTACTTTTTATACTCATATGGTCTCCCTCTATTTATATTCATGTGCTCTTTATGTTATCGGGAAAATACAATTGTATCAATTCAGTCCTAAACTTTTTTTTTTTTTGCTAATTGAGTCATAAACATTTTACATTTATACCAACTCAATTCATCTAGCCAACTTTTGTCGAAAATCGCTAACATGGCGCCGCTAGCGATGACGTGGACAATTTTTATAATTTTTATGATTTTTTTATTAGTATTTTCTTTTTTTTCTTTGTTTTCCCTTTTTCTATTTTTTTTTTCATTGTGGCCGGCGCACTGGTGACCCTCGCCATCGGTGGGTGAGGTCAACCTCACCAGTGGCTGGCTGATCTGGCAAGGGTCAAGCCTCACTAGCCATGGGCGAGGCCCGATATTGCTGGATTTGGCGAGGTTGGCCTTCATGGCCTTCTACCTCGCGACCTTTGACGAGGGCTGCCCTTGCTGGTGGTTGGGCAAGGCATAACCTCGCCCATGGCCGGCGAGGCTCGACCCTCGCAAGCCCGGCCTCACCCAGCGATGGCGAGGTCTAGCCTCGCCTGGCCAATGCTAGCGACATCGCTGGTCACAATGAAAAAACATAAAAAAAGAGAAAAAATGATAATAAATTCATAAAAATTTTAAAAAATTGTCCACGTCAGCGATATTCGGTCAAAATTAGTCAAATAGATTGAATTGACACAAATTTAAAAGATTTAAGACTCAATTGACAAATAAAAAAGTTTCGGACTGAATTGGTACAATTGCAACAGATTTAGGACTCTTTTGGTAATTTCTCCTTATATTCACAATTGACCACCGATTGGGAAAGGGATTGGATGTTCTTGTGGTATGCACGCCCCGTGGTACATATGACTGAAGTTTTGCATCATTCTTCATTAATTGTTAAATTCACAATACGTGGACGAAATTGTTGATAGGAGAGATGATTTCCAACGAGCTTTGTTGGACAGACATCTCTACTTTTCTCGAGAGCAAGGCCTAGGGCTAGAGTTAGTATGCCCACGAATTGCCCTCTATTTTGCCGACGCTACACATTAGAAATTTGCATCGAAGCTTAGTAGATTGGACCATCATCAACTGGGTAGAAACTATATTGTTCACCTTATCAATTATATAATATGGTAAGCCTAGCTGTACGATCTACTCAGTCTGCTCACCATACGCTGTCTTTTATGCAAATTTGATGAACGATGTTCACTCATTCTCGTGTTGATTACGGAAATGATCTTATCATCCCATGCATACAAATCCAAGGTATGTAGCTTCATCTTTAGTTAGGTGTCCCTAGGTTGACTGAAACTAAACGAAGTATATTGTCAGAACGAGCACGTATGCTTGCGTTGATGGTCACATCTCATCCACAAGGAGATATTGATCAAATTTGACGGAGAGAATCGCTTAATCGTGTTGCTGCTTTCTTGACTGCTTGATGTCCGCTGTAATATGTAGTAATTACATTCTATGGTCTATGAAATTCAACATTGTATTTCCTTCTGTTGTCCCCTCGACTCTTTTGTTCGTGTATAGGAGAACAAAGCAATCAATAAACCATTTCAAAGAATGGTTCTGGAGTTTGCAATTTTAAAAGCTAGCGGATATATTTCCAATACCAAATATGGCTTCAAGTACAAGTATTCGGAATTGTAACACTTTCAGAATTCTCACATGTTGAGACGAAAAAGTTCTGAGCTCGAATTTTTAATCTTTTCATTTGCCTTGCCTAATTATCTTATTGTAAGTTATCAGTGACTAGGGCCACATCTCGTAACCTCAATCATATTGGATGGAAGCCAAGGAGTCAATAGTTGGATAAGAGCTCATATATAACAATTTGTGGTGCGTGGGATTTCGAAACTCGGGGCGCAAAGGCATATCCTTGAAAAAAATATCGCTATAGAGAAACCAAACTAAGTTTTAGTAAGTATGCTTAACAAATATGCAGGACACTCTCAAGGGATGTTTCTAACGTAATTAATAAGTATGTTCAAGATTTTCAAAACATCGAACACATATATATTATGAGAAAAAGTGGTGTGTGGAAGACTGTAAAGTTTTCTTGGTGCTTCAACACAGCTCAATTCAAGGGCACTCGTTGCTTAAAACCTCATATTTTTCCGAGACGAAAAATTAGGTCGTGCTTATTTGACGCCATAACCACTACTTGCATGCTTTTGGGAAGAAAACGAATCGTGCGCTGTTGGAACAGCCTCACGTCTACCTCCTCTTGCCCCTCTTTTGCCTTCTCTCTTCTGACTTCTCTTGTGAAATAATAGAATGGCATCAATCATGACCTATCATAGCAGGCTTAGCTGCATACAAACAGACAAATAGTAGTTTTTCTCCCTGCCATGCTTAGGTCCAACTAAATTATTATCTTACTGGGATGTCATTCTTGAAAATGGTAGTGAGTTGCTGTCGAAACAGAGAAAGTCGCAAAGAAAATGTCCATTCCAAGAACATCCATGGAAGCAAGGGACAAAACATTAGGACAAGTCATGAGGCACATAGGTTGTGCTGTGGAATAGTACAGGACATTGACCCAATTCTCTCTCGTGGGTGTCTCGGAGTTCTTCAATTTAATGCAGTGGGAGCAATGAATGTGAATTGGAGAGGATGGTGAAGATATCTAACTACCTCTCCAGATTCTTCGAATGGTTTGTCTGATGTTTTTTTCACTCCCCTCCTCCCTTGAGTGAAACTGAAGAGGCAAAGTCTCTTAACCGGTGGACGAAAGCTTGACTGGTCGCTCACTTTTTCTAAGTAATGCCTAGTCAACATGTCGGCAAGAGTCAATGTTGATATATGAAAGACCCAATAAACATTACTTCTTTCGTTCATGTATGGAATCAAACCAATCTCAGAGAGAACAGTAAAGTTTCACGGGTTCTTTCTGTCCAAGCGCAGGAACGGTGATAAATAAAGAATTTAAATCTATTTATTCATATTTCGACTTCCACGAAGCTTCACCGATGAGGAAAATGAGAATCCCTACCGGCTAAAGCATATTGAAAAGTCATATTCGAAGAAATTCGGATGTACGACTTGGGGTTGCAAGGACAATCTATATGTTTACATCCATTAATTCGCAAGACTAGTTTTTATTCAACCCCACACCCTAGGATGTATTGAGATTTTCCTTTCAAAGCACAAACACTTTCTATCCAATATGGTCTGTCCACATACATATTGGTACCATACGTGGACTGAAGTTGAAGTTAGGCACTGTACGATTACCTCTTGTTCTTCTCGGAAGATGTACAGAAACATTTACTCATTCACATCACACTGTCCTACAAGCTCCATCAATCACCCTCCAAAATTAAAACTTTATATTATCTACTGGGTCATATTGCACATAAAATGTGGCTCTATCACGACCACCTCCACCACCATATATTTCCCATTTTATCCCCTAAGTCCTTGTTTATCTTTCCTCTGTGCCACCGCTGACAAGGGGTCCTCCCCTATTCAATAGCCCGCAAATGCCATAGAAAAACAACACATTTCTTTTCCCTTTTTTTTTTTTTTTGGTCAGAACATTTCTTTTCCCTTTCAAAGCCCTCAAATCATATTAATCTCTCTCTCTGTCTCTCTCGTTATATATGGCACATGCATGAAGAGTCTGAGGAAGAAAACAAAGTCCACAACCACGCTCGGTATCCTCTCTCTGGCTTCAGAATCGAAACCTTAATGGATTCCTCATCAACATGTCTCGGGACTCGACCTCGTTCTGTCCGTAAAGAGTGCGAACCCAGCAACAACATCAACCCCAATTCATCGTATCCATCGAAATCACCACCCTCTTCCTCGTCTTCTCGCAGAAGAAGCCCTTCCTTCTCTTCCTCTTCCTCTCTTTCCTCGTCTTCCTCCCTCGGATCTTCCCAGTTCCCCGAGGAGCTCTCGTTCAGCCCTGGCACGCCGCTCCGTCTCTCCGGAGTCCCGTTTTCATGGGAAAAGATCCCGGGGATTCCCAAGAAGCAGAGCTCCAGGAGATCAAGAGATTGTCCGTCTTCCCTGAGCAGCAATCTCCTCCCATTGCCGCCTTCCGCTACTCCACCGTCGTCGAAGCGATACACCAATGAAGAAGTCAGGCTGAAGAAGAAGGTCCACGGCGCCGCAGCGGTGGCGGAGAGGTACCAGTGGGACCCATTCGTGGCGGCATTAGTCGAGTGCTCGAAGGACCACGACCAAGCTCAAGATGCAACTACCGATAACGGAAATAATAAGCTCTGGACGGGCACTAAGGTCTCCAGGAGCATAGGCGACCGGTTCGGACTCATTGGTCTCTACGCATCTTGCAAGAGGGCGTGCCCCGTCTCGGAGTCGATCATCTACCTCCCGAGATCAAACCAAGCGTCCTACGGCCTGATCAATCGGCAATCACATTGAATTCGACCGCACACGGACACTCCGGGGCATCGCCTAGAGATAAGTCCTACATGATGTCGAAATTTCCAGATTCGAAAAGTTCTGTTGTTGTTCTTGTATGGTTTAATCACCTCTTCGTTACATCCACTTTCTGTGTCATTGTGAGAGGAAGTACCAATTGTAATGTTTATATGAAGTTCTATATAATGTGATATGAATTATCGACTTGAGACAAGCAGAAGTGCGCTAGCCTGAATGAACTGGAGGTGCACTGCTTTCCCTTTTTTCAAACCTTATTCCATGGATCATGTTTTGACAGAGTCCATGATGTTTTGTACGTTGATTTGCTGTACATCATGTGGGTGAATTTGATCTAGATTCTAAGGATAAACAGGTCGAGTAAGGCTCACCAGAGAGCCTCCATGTGGGAAGCACACTGAGACCAGTGCAGTAAAAGACAAGCATCAATTCGCTGGGGAACATATATTTTTCTTATTTTTCTGTGGAATATAATGTTTTTTTCCATAGTATCTGTTCAGAGCTGACAAATTTTTTTAAAGAACTGCATTGGGATGGGGGCCTGAGAGGTTGTTGACCAACCCTACTTGTTCTCTCACTCATTTGTCTAGCTCCTCTTTGAGATCTGAGAACTCAAGAACATAACATAAAATTTTGTCTTGAGGGGCACTTGCTAATATAAATTTCTCTTTGTATTCATAAATCACTCTCATTTATCTAACTCTTGAATAATTTGTTTTTGGAACCCCGTTATAACTATTCATTTGGCAAGTCAAAGTGGAAATTAAAAAAAGAAGAAGTAGCTCCCTTATTTTTGGCTTTGTCACTGTGGTTGGACTGTCACGATAGCTCACTAAGTGGACTTGATGATGATGGCTGTCGGTGGAGGTTCCTAAGCGCGATTACATTCATTTCTTGAACACACATATCTTAGAAGATTTAAGAGTTAAGTGTTGAGGATTTTGTATTATTGGACTGTTTTAAATTGAACTTTTGAACAAATTGGAAGGTCGAATGGGGCCCAAATCATTTAATATAGGCTTGATGTAAGAAGATCTCTGACAAGAACCACCAAGATTTCTGCCGAAAGTCCATGATCCATTCTCCACCTTACTTTTTTACATGTAGAGAAATGTACCCAAAGTGGCCGGAAAAAGAATATTTGGAAATGATGATGACATGTTCTTAATGAGCATCAAAATGTATGCTCATAATTAGGTTAGACAATCTTGTAGAAGAAGCAATGAATCAAATCATCATGGCCCATCTTTTCCTTCTTTTCGATTCTTTATGCTATCAAGTTTGCAAAATTTTCGTTCATCCTAATCAACTACGTAGCGATATTTGCTAGCAATAACATAATAGAGGCAATCAATCCATTTAGATGTCTGACCAAAAAACAGAGATGGATCTAATATATAATTTCGTGTCATTTCAATATTTTTTTTCTTTTGAAATCTCTTTTAACATGATAATCCTTTCACTAGAACAATAGATTTGAACGGATAAAAATGCCTTCTTTTCAAAGCATCTAAGAATTTCTTTTTCCAAACATAGACTTTTCGATCCTAGGGTTTCGATGGCCTAACAAAAAGGAAACTACAGGGCCTTGGATTGAACAATTCCAATGTCTCCAAAGCCTGTAAAAGGTGACCATTGGATCTATGTTGCAGGTCTTTGTCTTAGAGACAAAGTTTGTGTTTTTCCACTTTTCAAGAGCCTTGTGGGCATTTTCTTTTTGTCAATTCCATGGGAGAAATCAGTACACAAAAAGCAAGTCCACTATAAAGGTCCTCGGAGAGAGAGAGAGAGAGAGAGAGAGAGAGAGAGAGACCCATTTCTCCATCTTCATCATTCGATTGATTGGCACGCCATGGGAGTAGAGCCACCACTACTCATCAACACAATGTCCAGTCAAGCCACACGCACATACAGATGAATGTGTCGTGAAAAAAAAGTATTTGATTCCTGAAAATCGCAACTTTTGCTCAATTCTCGATTCAGTTAAGAACTGTTTTTTATCTAAAAAAAATCACAAACTTCAAATCTAATCTCAAATGTGCTCCGAACTCTTTTTATCTAAAAAAGCATAAACTTTCAATCTAGCCTCAAATATGCACCCGTGAACTCTACGTCCAAAAATCGTCATTGGCATGTCTACGTCGGTAATAAATCCACGTCAGCAGAGTGACATAGAAAACTATTCCCAAAACAAAACAATTCTTTAATATGAAAATTAGGGAATTGGGACGACTAGCAAAGATTTGGAATTGAGGGCTAATGGGAGCAAATTTGAGACTAGAGTTAAAGTTGATGAATTTTTTTCAGAATTAATACCACGAAAAACCCTAAACTGGTACGCATGTGACAATTTTACCCCAAACTAATATTTTGATCACCAAAATTCTCAAATTGGTACACCTATAACAAATTTAAGCTTAGTTTATTTTCGTTAAATTTTACTGTTAAATTGCTTTATTAAATGACACGCGGCAATTAACGGATGTACCAATTTTTAGGGGTGTGCAATCGGACCGGATTTATCCAGAAACCGGACCGGTCCACCCGAAAAACAGGTTCGGGAACCGGTTCCATTTTTTGGGAACCGGTTAGAACCGGTTCGGTTTCCGGTTCCAAGTAAAAATCGACCCGGACCGGTTTTAGAACCGGTTTTGAGATAATGTAAAAAAAAGTAAAAACCCTAGATCATGTTACCCTACCCAGCTACCCAGTCTGTCTCTCACGATTTCTCTCTTCTCTTTTCGCGACCTCCCCTATCTCTTACAGTTTCTCTCTTCGCAAGCGCCTCGTCAATCGCCGCAAGAACACAACCCAGCTCGTCGCCTGCCTGGGTGTTGAAGAGGGCTAGGGTTCGGTCATCTCGGCGTCCGTACTGTGCGTGTGTTTTTTCCGCCTTTTTGGCTTGCCAATCCGGTAGATCTGTAAGTACGCGACGAAATTTTTTGTGGATTTGCTTGTTTTGCTTTTGGATTGTTGATTTTGATGGATTGTAATTTCAATTGCTCATTTTAGGGATTGTTACTTTTGGCGGATAGTGATTTTTATTATTCATCTTTTACTTTGAATCGTTTCATTGCTACCTATATTATTTTGCTAGAAGAAAATGAAACCGGAAAAAAGAACCAAAAAAACAGGTTCTCGGGTAGACCCTGAAACCGGATCGGAAAAACAGGGTCGGTTCCAAAACAGGGTTCAGGGAAAACAGGGTAGGTTTCAGGTTCCAAAAATCGAGAACCAGTTATAACAGGGTTGGTTTCAGGTTCCAGGTCTGGACCCAATCCACCCTGGAACCGATCACCCCTACCAATTTTATGTTTTACCCTCCGTTTATCACAGACGTACCAGTTTATGATTTTTTGTTGTATTAATTTAATTTAATGGAAACTAACGGAAGGTACATTTATCACAAATGTACCAATTCGAGGTTTTTGGTAGTCAAAAAATTAGTTTGGGGTAAATTTGTCATAAGTGTACTAGTTTGAGATTTTTCGTGGTATTAACCTTTTTTTTATACAAAAAAAAGTTCATGGCAAATTTGAAACTAGACCTAAATTTGGAGTTCGTTTTTTTTAGATAAAATAAAGTTTGGGACAAGACTGGGATTGGACCTAAAGTTAGGGTTTTGTTTTAGACAAAAAAAAAAAGTTCAAGGCAGAATTAGACCGGACCTAAAGTTGGGGTTTTTAAGGGACTTAGGCTATGGAAGAACCAAATACAGAGACCCAAAAATCAATATTATGATAGAACAATGTCGATTACAAATGATTTATTGAGTCATGCGACAAATTGCGGATGCATTCAAACAACTGAAATTACAATTCTTTTGATTTTTTTTAAAATAAAATGAAAATAAAAGTTATAAAACCACGCTATACATTGCCGATAAGTTGCCGGTCTCAATGGAGCTTGTTGAGTGATGCAAAATCGGATTGGGTGGGCACTTCATGATCTACAATCTACATAAACTTTAGGGAGACGAAATAATTAATATTTCCTCCACTCATTTGGTAAAATCCGAAATGATTATGTAATGTACTGTCCTTTTAATTCTCATTATCTACGCAATTATATATTAATCAGTAGCGACGTGCACAAGTTATACGATGCTAATGCCTAGAGAATCTCTAGCTTAAAATAATGGGTCGTGCATCTCAGTAGCAATAGCAAGCACTATCGTATCATAGTCATCATGATCTTCACCGAGTGCACAAAATTAGAAATTAATTAGATGATAAAGTCGCTATATCAAAGGCAAGTTTGAAATTTCTTTGCCGACGATCACGCACCACAATTGGGAAATAGCGTGAAACATCTTACATAGCTAGTGGGACCTAATTGAATAAATAGAATATAGTAAGTACGGGAAAGCTAAATTTGCTCACAGGTATAAAATATACGGATGGCCCAAATGGAGGGGACCGAATTTGAGGTTGGGAAGGATAGTAAGGGTACGCTTTTTTTTTTTCGCGGAAAGCGAGTGTTTCGAAAAATATTTTCTTAAAAATTATCGTCTTTATCGCTCACAAAAATGAATCAACGAAAAATATTTATATCGTCAATGAAAATATCAAATAAAAACTATTTACATCTGACTAATTATTTCAAGCGAAATAAATGATTATATTTAGAAAAATATTTTTCGAATCATTTAATTTTATGCGAAACAAATGAAGTTTAAGATAATTCGGGATATTCATAAAACTTATTTTCCTAGGTAGTCTAGGGTATGCGAAGGATTACTTGACACGTGTATATAAGATTTGGATACTTGGTGGATCTTTTAAGTCTAAAGTTGACTGATTGCGTGACTTTATTACTGAATTAGCGCAAAATAGGTTGGAGGTGGTACGTAGCGTAACTACTCAAAGTCAATAAATGAGGGCAAATTGAACTTCATCTCTTTTGAGATAAAATTATATAATGTGCTTCTTTAGGGCATGCACATGGTTGACTAAGTTTTCTTTTCTTTTGACAAGATCGTAAAGAAATTCATTTCTACTGAAAAGCGAGGCTGTGAATGCCTTGGCATGGGAACTTCCAAATAAGCCATTGTCGTTATGTCAAAAGATGTATCTTGTAAGTTAATTCTCATATATATAATCTAAGAACACTCTCTTTTAATTTAGTGCGCAATTCGATTCATTCCTGTCCTTCACCATCCTAAAAGTCCGTTGGGAGCCGCTTCTTATCAAGCCC